CCAAGAGCCCCAACCCCACTTGGCATCCCTGGCCTCTTCTTCCAACTGGAGGAAGAGAAGAGGCTCCTGGCCCTTGGGCCCCACTCACCCCTCCAAAAGGGGGGTGCCAGAAATGCTTCTCCTTGGAGGGAAGGAGCCTGGGGGGGATCTGGTCTCCCCAGCTGGATCTGCACCTGATCCCTCATTTCTCTGGGGTGGAAACAGACAGAAGGACAAGGACCAGCTTCCATCAGGATCTTCTTAGGATCCACCTGCCTTCTGGGAGGGAGACCTGTTATTCCCTTCCTCCCCCACAGCAGGATGTCCATCAAGGCCAGGCTCTCCATCTTTCCTGGGGGAGAGTCGGGGAGGAGGAGATTTTGGTCTGTTCTTGTGCTATGTAACATTTTTTTTTACTTTAAAAATGTTTTTAGTAACTGTATTCTGTGCAGAGAAATTCAGTCATGAGGCAAGGATAAAATTATATTAATTTTTTTAAAACAATAAAAATACTTTTAAAATAACCTTTCTAAAAAGTGTGGCAATGGTCTTTCCCCTGGGAGGGACCCCTTTCTCCCCCCTCCTGCTCCTGGGGGGGAATATGGGGCGGGAGGAGCCACCCAACCCATCACTCACCTTCGCTCTCATTGTGGTGAGTCCTTGCAGGCTCCAGATATGCTCTGAACACCTCCTCATGGCCACGTACTCTCTGGGTGTTTCTGTCCCAATACTGGGGGTCATCCTTCCCCACCTCCTCCATCCAGGAGACTCGAGGCTGCATCTTCCTGCTGTTGCTGTCATAGTAAAGGAGGACTTGATCGTCCAAGTACCCCAGCGCGACAAAGTGGGGCAGCCCCTGACTGGGGTCCGACATGGAGGTGAGGAAACACTTCATGGAGTGTGAGGAGGAGCCTGGAAGGGACCCAGAGGGCCAAAGTTAGGGGGCTTCAGCAGGCCCCAATTTCAGGGTCTGGGGAGGAAGAATGAGGAAGAAGAGACCTGGGGGGTGGGCTGGGGGACAGACGAAGAAGGGGGAAAGGAAGGGGAAGAACATGGAAGAGGAGAAGGAGGCCGAGGGTGGAAAGAGGGAGCGACTGAGAGGCAAAGAAGCAGCTTCTGTAGGGCCTGAAGGGTTGGAAGGGAGAGAAGTTGGGGGGTGGGAAGGGAAGGGAAAGCAGGGGCAAAGGGAGAACAGGACCCCCAAACCATATCTGCCACCCCAAATTGTTCCCTCCCTCCTTCCAGCAAGGCCTCCCTCAAACCCTCTTTTGGATTGTGGAGACTCTGCCCCACGGAAGCTGCAGTTGCCCCACAGAGAGAAGGGGGGGTTCCACCCCCAGAAGCTCAAAAGCAGCAGGAAACAGCACCTGGTCACCCCAACTTTCCATTCACAGGAAAGAAATATTCTTGCTTCACTGAGGGCCAAAATGGATTGTTAATAGGTGCAGATTTTAGGGGAGATTTTATAAAATGGGAGAGGGAAAGGGGCAAAGGACGGACCCGGATGAGGCCAGAGGCCATGAGACCCTTGGGGGCAAAGCCAAAGTGCTTCCCAGGGAGATGTGGGCAGTCAAAGGGGGGAGCGAAGGGGGCAGGAATGAAGCCACGCAGCC